AGGTTTTAACCCTTCAGATGTTTACTTTTGGGGTTAATCCAGAGGCAAGTGGCTGTCTTCTGGACAGCCACTAGTGGCGAATCTGCGACGCTGGAGGCATTTTTCTCCTCCATCCAGCAGAGCGTCCATAGGAAAGCATTGAGAAATGCTTTCCTATGGATGCTTTGAATGTGCACACGGCACTTGCCGCACATGCGCATTCAACTCCACTGATGTCGGATGGGGGAGCTGACGTCGGCGGGGGAGGAGAGGTCACCAGCGCCGAGGGAGTAAGCTGCTGAAGTGGTTTTAACCCTTTCAGCACCACCGGAGGGCGACCCTGAGGATGGGGGTACCCTCAGGGCACTATAGTGTCAGGAAAACCGCTTTGTTTTCCTGACACTATAGTGATCCTTTAAATATGAATTTGTGATCAGATTACTGGTCACTCAACCTATTATTGGCATCATATATAATAATTTCACAAATAGAGAACTGGTGCATTACAGTTTAGTGTGAAACTCAGCAATACATCTATTGGCAAAAAAAATCTGCTCCTGTATAGTTGAAATTATTATTATTTTTATTATTATTTATTCAAAAATGAATCATAATTCTTCTTAAACTAAGATGGTTGTTTTCTACTGTAAATTTTATTTTTTTAGTATTCAATCCCCACTGCCCCCCAAAAATAATTGTGATCTGTATCATGTCTTTATGACTACTTTCAAATAAATAATTCAAGATTTTTCTACTAAAATCAGGATAATTGTTATTGATTCATCACTTCTCCAATACTTGAAAGGTCAAATATACATTATTTCTATCACATTTGGCCTAAATGCCTTACTCTATGTTGATCAAAGTCTTCCTATACATGACTCATTCCCATGATGTGTTAGTCTTTGTCCTTGATACTCCCTCACTCCCTCAGTGCCCGCTTTAAGTCCCGCAACATCATTATGCAGGCATTCCTTTCTCACCCATTGTCTAATCCAATGCGTCTCGTAGAGGATCATTGTGGACGAGATGTGTCCCCACTGATTTCCCCATGCATTCCTACCAATTGCATTTAATGATATTCAACATCCTTATGGACACCGAACATCACACGACCAAGTTTCACTCAGTTGTTGCTCAGTAAGTGCCTCTCCAAGAATGAATTCTAAAGCCAATCTTTTGTATGAATTATTACTACTTGATCTGATAGTATTAACATTTTGAACCTGGAACGGGTCAAAAGTTTCACATTTTATAATACTTTTAATTTTATTTGTCTTGTTAAACTGTAGTAGCTTGTGCATGTGTAATTTAAAGTACCATAACATGGATATAGTTTTCTTATAGCATGGTAGTTGGAAAAGATGATTCTGCTTTTGTAACATCTCTATAACTTTAAAAGATAATGTTCACTTAACAAGCATCATATCTCCTTGTATACACTTTCATGCAATATACTCATTTCTCCATAAGCTGTTTGCCATATTTAGGTAAAGTTACGGTAAATTAATTCCCATTAAAACAAATATAAACTGCTTTATATTCTTTATGCTTGATGTGTATATAAATGCTATATCAATCATCTACTGAACATTTTTTAAGCTGTTCTCAAATATATTATTTAATTCAAACTCACCTGTAGGTGGATTTGAGATTGTTTCCTGTCCCGTATCTAAAACAATATGAAAAAAAGAAAGAACGTGTGTAGTATTTGAATGATTATTAATTCATATCAGATGCTTATGTACTATCTATCTTGTTCTTTATAGCATATATAGAACTATAGTAGGCAATCTAACAAAGATGCAGATAAAAAGTGTATCCTTTGTTAGGTAACAGTAATCTAGAATCTATTCACTGTATAGACAGTTCTATTGAATTTGCAAAATTCAGACAGATACAGCCATCATAAAAAATAAATAAAAATGTTTTGTGACCTCTGCCAAGTCATGGCGTTTTCCAACATCACAAATGTCAAAATTGTATTCTATATAACTACTTACCGTATTACGTACGCACAATTACATCCAAAATAGGACAGGACTGATTCGCTGGTAGTGTCAGCTAATCAATGCTGTCCAAATTTGGACACAGAAATTGGAGACAGTGCCCACAGTCTCTTGGCACCATAAACAGTATAGTGGCCTGCAGCGCTTATGGTGATCTGAAGGCTTCTTTAAAATATGTATAGTTTACTCTATAATGACTTTTTTTCAGAGTCTAAAATATGTGCATAAAGGAAAAAATGATCACATTCAGTAGGTAATAAATATATAAACAAATATCCCGCTTATGAGTATATTGTAAGGAACATGGTCCACTAAAAATGCCACCAGGAGGTCAACAATTATTTCAATATGAGGACTTGATTACTATATACAGGCAGGTCCTAGGATGAGCCTTAATGTTTGACCTACAAAAAGTAGCAGTAGAGTATGGTAAGAGGGAGGGATGCTTAGACACAGGGGGCCAGAGCAGTGTCCTTGAATGTTCATTCATTACTGTACAGGTAAAACTAGTGATGTAGCAAAGTGGATTATTCTGATGCTGCATTTTTTTTTTTCAATGGAAAATAAAATTCAGCACAAGTGTATAAGCCATGTTGCCGGGAGGAAATGTTTAGATACATAGAAAGGCAGATAAAACCTTGGGAAAATAATATATGCATTTACTAGCAATTGTATCAGTAAAAAAGTAAAGATTCATTTTGTTCAGCTTTAAATTCTTATTAAAAACATACACACAGCTCGGGGGCGGAGCTTGAACACAGAGCTGAGCAGCCGCATGCACAAAATGACAATTTTCAGGGTAATACCCCCATTTCCAGCCTGAATCCGGGTTTCTATACCCATAAGCCTACTTGGGGACAAGTTGCTGATCACACTGACCCCACTCTCAAGCCTCTGAGATGCAGTGAGCCCGCGGAGACGAGTTGCAGCCTGCAAGTGACCGGGTGGGGGGAAAGGCGGCCGATTTCCCCGCTCCCCTGGTTTCTGAAAGGAACTGCTTCAGTCCATCCCCCCTTTGGACCGGCGGGGGTTATCCTGGTCCCCCCCTGGACTGCTCCAGTCAAACCCTGTGGTCAGAAAGGGACACTTACCTGCACACGATGGGAACCCTCAAAATGGCGGACACTCATCTTCCAGCAACGCCTACTCCACTACCAACCAGTAATAGCCTCAGTGTTTCTGTAGATTGGAGGCAATATTCACCAACTTCTGGGCTAAATTGGAAGCACGAGCAGCAGCTTCAGTCTCTCACCAGGGGACTGAAGATCAACAAGCCGAGCCATGTGGAGTGAGCGGGCCCCCTCCGGACACCGAGGGTAAGCAAGCGTCGGCTCCTCTACCCTTATACTCACCAGAGCCCAACAACAACCAGGGCTCCACACTGCCATACCAGTGCCCGCCCACTGCTATTCGAAGGGAGACCCATTGCTGCAACCCATACGAGAAAGCTCTGAGCCATCGGGCACGCGAAATGAAGGCACTTGACGCCACACGGGCCCAGCTCTGGGTGGACACCCTCTCACAAAGCCGCCCCAGCGCTTCCACCAGTACAATCTCTGCCTGCCTCATAGGCCACCCAGCGAGGGGAATTGGATGAAACACGGAATGATAGAACAGAGCGGGCTGTCCACAACGAGAGAGCCACGAGGCCTGAGACACCATTGTTTTATATAATGCTTTGTGATGTCTTGTGTTGATTACGCTAACCGGGTGTACACTAGTCCTGCCATGTCTATTTCTATTTTAATTTTCCTTTTAATTTGCTTCTATTACACCCCTCATCACAAGCCATACAGGTCTCAAAGACTGTGATAGCAGCTCCAGTGGGAATTTAACCCTGTTCGTATACTGTTTAAGCATGATTACTACTCTTACGTAAAGGTATTTGACTAAGCTATGTTACACATACTTTATAATGCATGTTCCGCATAAGCTTTAACATAACTACTTAATCTAAAAAGTGCACAATAGAAAACACAACTTGTAGCAGCATTTAATGTCTAGCTAATATAACACTAAGTTAGAATGAATGCTCATCCAGGCTGTATTAGCACTGTAAACCAGATTAGCAATGTCTTAATCCCTAGATTTAACCATATGTAACTTCATGTTGTACTATTCGACTTAACCTTATACCACACGTTTACTGATAAGCGGAACTGGTGAAACCACCAGACACACAACAATAATATACAGTATATAAAACTGTGCAGTATCTTCTAATACCTAACTGCTGTAACATTATATATCTGCATAACTGCTTACTCCAGCTGTTGTGGCATTGTAAGCCTGATGTGTTTTCACCTTGCACAAATAAAATTAAGGATTAAAAAAAAAAAAAAAAAAAACATACCCGCAGCTCTAGTCAAACGGGTAAATAACTAACCCACAATACAATTTAAGCTTTCTATAATAAATGTAATGACATTTTTATAATAAATTCTAGCTCTGATTATAGGTTCAACATGCCAAAATAAACGGATATGTAATATAGATTTTTGTTGTTGTTTTTTTTTGTAAACTGTATGAAAAAAAGAAAAGCAGTGTACCTCCGAAGGGAATTAGGAGAGTATGTACAAAATCTATAATAAGTCACAAATAGGATGCCAGTTGTACTATTCCTTGACTCGGTACCAAATAAATACATCATATCAGACAGCTAACTGACATGCAGCATTAATTACATTGACCGCGCTTATTTTTAAACATTTGTTTTCATTTAGCTATCTTGCTTCTCTAGGGATGTATGCAGGGATTGTAACCTTCTGTGCTGTCTTGTCAGAACTTTGAATAAAAATCCTGTAAAAGCTAGATTTTAAATGTAATGCCAGGGACAGGGTCCTCCACTGATGTATTGATATGTCTGCAGTATGTTTGCCTATTTCCCCTAAATTAAACAGTGCTGCTAAATATGTTGGTGTTATCTAAATAAGAAATATTAACACTAATAGTTAAGGAGTTAGACATTCCTTCTTCTTGTTCTGGTGCTAAATCCAACATCAGTTTGGGTCTTTAGTTCAGCACAGATTGTTGTGAAATAATTTCTGATACAAGCATAAGGAAAACACTATTACCTCCACCTTGGTTGAAGTTGAAATTGTAGCCTATGTATTTCATGTATCCGTTAAGCTGGAAGTCAGCAAGTGAGACCAGTATAAATGACCCAGGCCAGGCTCCGTGGCTCTTGGACTGGACCCCATTTCTATTGGATTCTTGATAGCTATTTTCTCCTGGCTTCTTCACCACAATAAACTCTCCGCCCTTATCATTTTCGAACATCCCTACATGAATACCAGCTCGGCAAATGGCTGTAGACTGTTGGGGAAAATTGTGTTTGTTTAAAATGTATAATTTTGATATATGCATTGTGACAGTGAGAAACTTAAACACATTTAGATCAGAATGTGATTCTTACATCTGTAAAGGGGTTAGATCCCCACACGTCACCATCCTTATTTAGACATTCACTGGGACATCGTACCCTGTATGAAAAAGAAAATACAAATTGTCTGATATCTTTCACTAGTTCTTGATGTTGAAAAAACAAAAATTCATAATTATCCCTGGAGAATCTGGATACATTTTTCAGACATCCATGTCAATGAAAATTATATTTTAGGAGCAGTTCTACAACAATCATCTAATTATCTTAACTTATCTTGATATCTAACTAAAATAAGGATATAATTCCAACTCCAGAAATAGTGGATGAAAAATACATTCTGGAGCTTGGAGGTATACCCTTATGTTAGCCACATGCGTGGGGCACCCACACGTGGGTTCTATAGAGCCTGGTCATGTGAATGGTTCTGGATAAGAAAAATACGACCTGTACATACATGCATATTCTGTTTACTTTTTAAAAATCATTTGTTTAAATGTATATTTGATACTCTGTAATTTTTTCTTTTGAAGAAGATCCTGTGATATATAAGTATCACGTACATTACTGATGTTTCATCATTTGTGCCCACATCTTATTTTGTTGTATTTGGTTTATGTGTTTTGAGGGTTGTGGTGGTTAACCTCACTGGTGTCATAGAATTGCACAGTGGTTCACACACTGTCTAAGCACAATTTCACTATTTTTTGTCTTTAGTGCATTAGATCCCCAACCTTGTGCTAGATTTCAGATTCAGCAGGCACAGCCAGAGCCGGTGCAAGACTATTTTGCACCCTAGGCAAGAACAGCTTGCACGCTTCCCACCCCCCCAAAAAAAATGCCAACTTTGTGTGTCTCTTTCTTTTCCCAGCCACTATGCGTGTCATCCCCCCCCCAATTTCTTTGTTTGTTTTTTTTCCGTTTTACAGCCCCTCTTTGTATGTCTTATCCCAGCCCCTTTGTGTGTCTCCTTCCAATCCAAACCACTTTTTGTATCTCTTTCTCCTTCAGTTGCATTATGTGTCTTTCTCCCCTCCAGCCCCTTTGTGTGGCTCTTTGCCCCCAAAACTCATTTGTGTATCTCTTTGTCCCCCCCCACCCTCTATTCCCCAAGCCGCTCTGTGTGTCTTTGTCCCCTCAGCCCCTCTGCGTGTCTCTTTGTCCCACTTCCCTCTGTGTAACACCATCTTTGAAAAACCAGCCCTCTGCATGTCTTTGTTCCTCCCAGCCCTTCTGGGTGTCTCTGTGTCCCCTCAGCCCCTCTGTGTGTCTATGCTCCTCCAAGCCCCTCTATGTGTCTCTTTGTCCCCTCAGTTCATCTGTGTTTCTCTCTGTCCCCCCCCATCTCTCTGTATGTCTATTTGTCCCCCAGCCTCTATGTGTGTCACTTTGTCCCGTCCAGCCCCTCTGTGCATCTCTCTGTCCCCCAAGCCCTTCTATGCACCTCTTCACCCCAACCCTCTGTGTGCCTCTTCCCCACCAAGCCCCCTGTACACCGCCATAGGCGACTGCCTAATTTGCCTAGAGGTCGCGCTGGCCCTGGGCAGAACACTATTTCTGGATAACTGTACTTACCTTGTAATTAGTGCAGGTAGATTCTTTGCTGACCATGCACAATGGGCATAAACTGTAAAAATAAAATAAAACAATTTATTCTCAGTGGGTAATGATGGGAAAATATTTGGTTTGGCATACAATAAAATGCACGGTTTTGGCAGGAACAAAACTAATATTTCAAAACTATAAATGCAAGGAACAATAAAAATGAACATTTATACCCAATTCTTTAAATGGGAACAGTCACGTCAGTGGAATTTACACCATTGAATAAAATATTAAAAATCACTTTTAACTTATGCTAATCTTTTTCATGAGATACTAAGGTTTCTTTTTAATTTATATTAAAGATTTAGCAAATTGTATAAGAAAACAGATCAGACAAGGTAAATATTGCAAATGAAGAGAAAAAATATATAAATTAATTGTAAAACCAATCTTTTACATGATTAACTGCTATTTGATCTAATAGTATCGAGACAATTAACCTGGAACGGTACATTTACAAATTTGCAATTATTACTGGCATTTATTTTATCGTCCATGGAATCACAGAGGGTTGAACTGACCTTGTCAGGAATTAAACCTATCAATCTTAGACATTGGCACTCTTTTGCACATATGCGAACCATTTTAGTTACATCTCAATGCTAATTTTTTTTTATTTTCTAAATTTCACATTTTCTGCTACTTTTAATTTCATTGTCTTGTTAAGCTCTAGTAGTTGGAGAAAGAGGATTCTGCTTTCATAACGTTTCTATAACTTTAAAAGATAGTGTTCACTTAACAAGCATCATATGTCCTTGTAAAAACGTTCATGCAATATTTATGTAAAGTTACAGTATAATTTGTTCCCATTAAAATAAATATAAACTGTTTCCTATGGTTTATGCCTGATGTTTATATAATGCTACAACAACTGATTTGGATCAAACAAACTGTTTGATTATTTGTCTATCTACTCATTTACAAATTGATTGTGCGCATGTCTTCTAGGAGTAAATCACACCGGACACATTGCAGGTTTATGAAAGACTTCAGAACTACTATTGAACATTTTTTAAGCTACTGTCAAATATGATATTTAATTCAAATTCACCTGTAGGTGGGTTTGACATTGTTTCTTCCGCCGTATCTAAACCAATATAAAAAAAAAAAGAAAGTGTGTAGTTGAATGATCATAAACACTTGTCAGACATTCATGTAATTCCATAGTCACCCAGACCACTTCAGCTCAATGAGGTGCCATGTCCCTCAGGTTTTAACCTTTCAGATGTAAACAGAGCAGTTTCAGAGAAACTGCTATGTTTACTTTTGGGGTTAATCCAGCCTCTAGTGGCTGTCTTCCGGACAGCCACTAGATGCGCATCTGCGATGCTGGAGGCACATTTCGCATCCATCGCACAGAGCGTCCATAGGAAAGCATTGAGAAATGTTTTCCTATGGACACTTTGAATGCGCGCGCGGCACTTGCCGCGCATGCGCATTTAACTCCACTGACGTCGGGCGGGGGAGCTGATGTCGGCGGGGGGGAGAGGTCACCAGCGCCGAGGGAGCCCTGTGCTGGAATAAGGTAAGCTGTTGAAGGGTTTTTAACCCCTTCAGTGACACGGAAGGGGGACGCTGAGGGTGGGGGCACCCTCAGGGCACTATAGTGTCAGGATCACCGCTTTGTTTTCCTGACACTATAGTGATCCATTAAATATGAATTTGTGATCAGATTACTGGTCACTCAACCTATTGTTTGCATCATATATAATAATTTCACAAATAGAGAACTGGTGCATTACAGTTTAGTGTGAAACTCAGCAATGCATCTGTTGGCAAAAAATTATCTGCTCCTGTATAGTTGAAATTATTATTATTATTATTATTATTATTATTATTTATTTAAAAATGAATCATAATTCTTCTTAAACTAAGATGGTTGTGTTATACTGTAAATTTTATTTTTTTAGTATTCAATCACCACCGCCTCACAAAAATAATTGTGATCTGTATCATGTCTTTATGACTACTTTCACATAAATAATTCAAGATTTTTCTACTAAAATCAGTATAATTGTTATGGATTCGTCACTTCTCCAATACTTAAAAGGTCAAATGTACTTTATTTCTACCGCATTTGGCCTAAATGCCTTACTCTATGTTGATAATAGTCTTCCTATACATGACTCAATTCCCATGATGTGTTAGTCTTTGACCTTGATACTCCCCTAGTGTTTGCCCTTGATACTCCCTCACTCCCTCAGTGCCCAATTAAGTCCCGCAACATCATTATGCAGGCATTCCTTTCTCACCCATTGTCCAATCCAATGCTTCTCGTAGAAGATCATTGTGGACGAGATGTGTCCCCACTGATTTCCCAATGCATTCCTTGAATTGCATTTAATGATATTCAACATCCTTGTGGATGTCGAACATCACACAACCGAGTTTCACTCAGTTGTTGCTCAGTAAGTGCCTCTCCAAGAATGAATTCTAAAGCCAATCTTTTGTATGAATTGTTGCTACTTGATCTAATAGTATCAACATGTTTAACCTAGAACGGGTTAAAGGTTTCACATTTTATAACACTTTTCATTTTATTTGTCTTGTTCAGCTGTAGTAGCTTGTGCATGTGTAATTTAAAGTACCATAACATGAATATGGTTTTCTTATAGAATGGTAGATGGAAAAAGATGATTCTGCTTTTGTAATGTCTCTATAACTTTAAGAGATATTGTTCACTTAACAAGCATCATATGTCTTTGTATACACTTTCATGCAATAAACACATTTCTACATTTATGTAAAGTGTCAGTACAATTAATTCCCATTAAAACAAATATAAACTGCTTTATATTCTTTATGCTTGATGTTTATATAAATGCTATATCAACCACCTACTGAACATTTTTTAAGCTATTCTCAAATATATTATTTAATTCAAACTCACCTTTAGGTGGATTTGAGATTGTTTCTTGTGCCGTATCTAAAACAATATGAAAAAAAGAAAGAAAGTATGTAGTACTTGAATGATCATAAATTCATGTCAGATGCTTATTTACTATCTATGATCTTGTTCTTTAGTTAAATATGAATTTGCGATCAGATTACTTGTCACTCAACCTATTGTTGGCTTCATATATATAATAATTTCACAAATAGAGAACTGGTGCATTACTGGTGTGAAAAACAGAAATACATCTGTTAGCAAAATAATCTGCTCCTGTACAGTTGAAATTATTATTATTATTTATTGGAGATTATATCATAATACTTCCTAAACTAAGATAGCTGTGGTCTGCTATAGATTTTTTTTTTTAGTATTAAAACCCCCCAAAATATACATTTGTGATTTTGGATGTTATCATGTCTTTATGACTATTTTCACATAAATAATTGTAGATTTTACTACTAAAATCAGGATAATTGTTATCGATTCATCACTTCTCCGATGAATGAATGTTCACTAAACAAGCATCATATGTCCTTGTATAAATTTTCATGCAATAAACACATTTCTCCATAAGCTATCTGCCATTTATGGAAGGTTACATTATTATTCTATTATTGCCATTAAAACAAATATAAACTGATTTATATTATTTAAGCTTGATATTTATATAAATGCTATATCAACCACCTACTGAACATTTTTTTCAGCTATCTTTTAAATATGATATTTAATTCAAACTCACCTGTAGGTGGATTTGAGATTGTTTCTTGAGCTGCATCTGCAACGAGTGTAGTTGTATGATCATAAATTAATGTCAGGTGCTTATGTACTATCTATGATCTTGTTCTTTAGTTAAATATGAATTTGTGCTTAGATTTCTGGTCACTCATCCTATTATTGGCTTCATATATAATCATTTCACAAATAGAGAACTGGTGCATTGTAGTTTGCAATTCAGTGTGAAACTCAGAAATACATCTGTTGGCAAAAAAATCTGCTCCTGTACAGTTTAAATTATCATTATTATTTATTGGAGATTTTATCATAATACTACTTAAAGTAAGATAGTTATGGTATGCTATACATTTTATTTTTTAGTATTCAATCCCCACACGCCAAAAAATATATAATTTTGATTCTATATCAAACATAAATTTTCACATAAATAATTCTAGATTTTGAAACTAAAATCAGGATAATTGTTATTGATTCCCCACTTGTCCAATGCATACAGTTTAAAATGTACTTTATGTCTATCGCATTTGGGCTCAATGCCTTACTCCATGTTGATCATGGTCTTCCTGTACATGACTAAATTTCCATGATGTGTTAGTTAGTCTTTGTCCTCAATAGTTCCTCAGTTATGCTGCCTGATCATAGTCCCACAACGTCATTATGGAAGCATTGCTTTCTCACGTATTGTCCAATCCAATGCTTCTCATAGAGGATCATTGTGGACGAGATGTGTCCCCAATGATTTCCCAATTATTTCCTATGAGTTGCATTTAATTATATTTAACGTCCTTTTGTACATCGAACATCACACAACCGAGTTTCACTCAGTTGTTGTTCAGGAAGTGACTCTCAAACTGGAAGACAGTCACTAGATGTGTGTTTAACCCTGAAATGGAATAAATTCAGTTTCTACAAAACTGATTGAGATGAGGTAGTTTGTGTGTATTTAGTAGTCCTTTAATATAAATCTAAGCATGAATTCAAAAAACAATCTTTTATATGATTTACTGCTACTTGATCTGATAGTTCCAACACATTTAATCTGGGACGGTAAATTTAGAAATTTGCAGATTTTAATGACAATTATTTTATCGCCTTTTAAATAACAAAGGGCTGAATTGATCTTGTCAGGAATAAAACGCATCCAAGATACTGCAGCTGGGCCTTTAGTGCACATGTGTGAACCATTTTAGTTACATTTCAATGCTTATTTTTTTTTTTTTCCTAAAGTTTCACATTTTATGGTACTTTTCATTTATTGTCTTGTTATGCCATAGTAGCATGCTTGCGCCTGTGTATTTTAAAATGCCATAACAATGAAGTGGTTTTCTAATAGAATGATAGTTGGAGAAAGATGATTCTGCCTTTATGACATCTATAATGTTTAAAGATAATGTTAACTTCACAAGCATCATATGGCATTGTATAAACTTTAATGTAATAAACACATTTCCTCGTAAGCTGTATGCCACATTTATGGAAAGTTACAGTATTTTCTATTATTCCAATGAAAATAAATATAAACTGCTTTCTAAACTTTATGCTTGAAGTTTATATAATGATTTAACAAGCTACTATTCAAAAATATTTTTAGAAATTCTCAAATATGACATTTGATTCAAGCTCACCTGTAGCTGGATTTGAGACTGTTTCTTGTGCCGTATCTAAAACAATATGAGAAAAAAAGTGGGTAGTTGAATGCATGTCAAACGCTTATATAATATCTGTGATCTTGTTTTTTTTAGTTAAATATGAATTTATGATCGGATTACTGGTCACTCAATCTATTGTTGGCTTCAAAACAATATTTGTGATTCTTTATCATGTCTTTATGACTACTTTCACATAAATAATTCTAGATTTTGCTACTAAAATCAGGATATTTATTATTGATTCATCACTTCTCCAATACCTGAAATGTAAAACGTACTTTATTTCTATCGCATTTGGGCTCAATGCCTTACTCCATGTTGATCATGGTCTTCCTATACATGACTAAACTCCCATAATTTGTTAGTTAATCTTTGTCCTTTCTTTCATTTTGTTTGAGTTTAATTAGTGAAACTGTTATTTGTATTAATACAAAACGAGAGTACCAAGAAGCCTGTGACTAACGCCCCCTTGCCTGGACATTCGCCATGGGCTCCTGGAGGAGTGTGAACGCTAGCCTCCTGCCCACTGACTATGGGCCATAGAAAAGGCTGGTAAAAAGACTTGGTTCATGGGATTTATTTGTACTGTTCGGGGACCGAACAAACTCACGAACTGCGGACCACCTCTGGGCTTGTCATGGGCATGTTTGCTATGTCTCTGTATATAAGTGGGCCATTGAGCCTGGATTAAACATATTTGTTCTACCCTTCATCAAGTCTAAGCTGATGTTTGGGGAACTTGGGCTATAATCACTACTGCGCTTGGGACTCGGGAGATTCATAATGGATATACTCAGCTGGAGTATAGGGGATCCATTACAAAGCCAATCTCCTCTGCTGCTTGAGCTAATGAGGAAGCATTAGCCTGAGCAACAACGGGTGGCTACTATTGGCTGATAGTGTCAGCAAATTGCTTTCAGCCTATCAAAGCTCCCAGTGTTGGCATAAATTGGTATGGTCAAACCTCCAGCAGTGGCCAGGTGTGGGTGGCCAGGGACCGTTATTTAGTGTTACATTGTTTGAAAATGATTTAACGCTGAGAGGAGGGACTACATCAGGGATCTTCAGATACTATAACCAATTCGACTAGATGAAATGGTTGTAGTGCTTACAGTGTCCCTCTAAGTTCTAATATGCACATCTTTATCTTAATACATGATTTGATATCATGTTTTATTTTATTTATTTAAAAAGTCAAATACAAATATAAAGAAATGTCAATCTAAATGCTCCCAAAAATCAGACAGTAACCTGTGGTTGGATTGTTTGATGGTTCTGAGTCAGCATCACTTAGACTTGATATGAAACGGAATGATTCAGACCATCCTTCATATGCCGATGATTTTATTCCATTCCTTATAGAACCTTCATACAATTCTGGTCCTGAATCGGTTACTACAAGTACTCTTCCTCCACTATTATTTAGAAATCCTGCATGAATTGCAGCTCTACACATTGCAGAATCCTAATGACAGAAATAAATAAAATAATAAACAAATGACTAATTTGTAAAAAAATATACAAGTTAATATTAAATATGTGCTTGATTATAATAAAGTAATTTCTTTAAAAAAAATAGCTGATTTGTATTTGAAGATCAAACATACATCAGTATAGATATCGCTTCCCCAAACAACTCCTTTTTGGTTTTCACATCCTGAAGGGCAAAATACTCTAGAAAAAATAATATTCATATTTAGTCAATTTTATTTTATTTAAAAACTGTGTTTTTTTATGAGGATCCATATTTTTTTAATTACAAGTATAGCTGAGTCTCCATACTTACTCTGTAATTTTTGCATCCAAATGGGTTGCATCTGAGGAACACTGGGCTTCAGCTACAAATCAAACAAAAGAAGCCAAGTTGTGAACATACTTAATTATTATAAGCATTTATACAGCACCAACATATTCTGTAACACTTTGTAATTATAGAAGAGGATCTTTAGAGGTAAAGACGGCCCTGCTCAGTCAAGCTACAATCTCTTTGGATTTTAGGTTGGCAGATATATATCACTAAGAGTCTTGCCCAGTGCTGTATTCTTCCCAAGGCAAACAAGGCATTTGGGCAGGACTATTCAAGGGGGTGGCAAAAAATGCCGCCCCTCAAATGCCCGCTCGTTGGTTAAACAGTGAGTTAGCCAATGTGTCTGTCAGTGAGTCAGTGTATGCGTATCAATGAGGGTATATTCTATCAGTGAAAGTGTGTGTTGGTTACACAGTGTGCGTGCCAATGAGCGCGTTTATGGATCAGTAATAGTGTATGCTTAAAAGTATGAGATGCAAAAAGGTAGAGTTCAAAGACAAAAAGCTAGAGCCTAAAGAAAGGTAGAGAAAGAGGTAGGTCTTAAACAGAAGAGGTATGGCTTTGGCAGGAAGCGGTGGGGCACATTTAGATTGGGTGTTGCAAAGTTTAGTTATGCCTAGGGCAGCACAAAAGCAAAATATATCACTGGTCATGCCCATGGACATTTACTGGTATTCAAAGCTAGCTTTACCATTTTTTGAGTATTGAAAGCCACTAGGGATCATAATAGGCACAAAGTAAAAACAGAATATTTTTATCACACAGTGCAAGTATCCCATTATGCAGGGAAGCCGGAGTTTCTAAACAGTCGATCATTCGTCAATATTTGGAAAATCCTATGCAATAGATGTGCACGACCTTTAAGAACTCAGGAGTTGAGATTGACCATAACTGATAGCAATGTAATGGGCAGTAATGGGTGGTTATAAGCAGTAGTTGGTGTTAGGAGCTGTAGAAGGGGCTTGATGCAGAGGGGATTAGAAGCTGTAGTGGGTGTTAAGGGCAGTATTAAAGGTTTAGTGGCAATAGTAGGGGGTTAAAGGCTGAAGCGAGGAGTGAGGAGGTGTATTAGTAGTAGTAGTAGTCAGGTGGGAAATGCAGCTTGCCTGGTGGGTGCAGATAGCTCTTTCCAGCTGGCACCGGGAAATGTATCAGAGCATTGCGGTAGTAATCCACGGCAACGCTCTGATACAGAAAAAAGAGTGTCGAACTTGGCCTGGAAATACAGACCAACTTCTCGTTCCTCACCTTCGCTAACAAGGGCTGACTAGGAAGCATGGTATTGCGCCAATTGATTGGCTGATAGACTTTTTACACCATGGAATCCACAAATTTTGATTTAATTTCTTATGGAATTGGAATTTAGTCATATTGTGGATTAAAAAACACATATGATAGCGACCAGATCCCACACTAACATATGTAAGAGAAGTATGGAGGGTACATCTTTAAAATGATTTGTGTTTGCCTGCAGTAATGAAACATGTGATCTATTTAAAGAAACACTATAGTGTTTGGAATATAAATATGTAGTCCTAACACTATAGTGTCCATGTACCTATATGTAGACAGGACCACCCACAGGTGCAAAAAAGAAAAAAGCTTCCCATAGGAAAGCATTAAATCAATATCACTTCCACGTCATGTAACTAAGTTTTACCAAGTCAGTACAATGCAATCGCCTCTAGTGGCTGTCATTAGGGAGGACTTACCGCTACAATGTAAACATTGTAGTTTCTCAAAATCTGCAATTTGTTACATTTCAGGGTTAAAGGGACATTACACCCAGACAACTTCAATGAGATTACATGGTCTGAATGGCTAAAGTGTTTCTTACACTGTTCATAAAGCCGTGATCATGTACAACGTGGCCATTGCTTAGATGTTCTTGACTGTATGCCTACTATCTGATCTCTTTAATATGATTATTTGTGAACTAGTGATGACATAAATCTTAGGACTCCCAGAGTGTAGGTGCTGAAGTTAAGATGTCTGAGTTAAGTGCAAATAAGCTAACCAAACCAGGAAGTAGCAGGACCTGCTGCCTGATTGAGAACATGGGGGGTGTAACCAGGCTGAGCCAAAAGTGAGTGTACCTCTAAGGGAAACTTTAGTAATAGAGTGAAAATACGATAGATCACATCTCGTGAGGTGCCATAAAGCATCCAGGCTAAATTGGTTAGAAAAAGTAGAAAAATATATATAAAAGAAAATAAATGAATAAATAAATAAATACATTTTATTGAAAATAAACGCCTATTTAGAAAACACACAAATTGCTCAAAGTGCTCCTGTACATAACTTATAGTGTGTCTCTGCAGGTATATGGTAGATAGACAAAATTTTTAAATATGGCCACTAGAAGGTGTAAAAACACTACTCATCTTAAAGTCAGGTTCAGACCGTCTTAGCTAGACAGTTAAACAGTTGTCAGTACTGAAAAAAGTTGTCCATCCGCAATTTCTGCGTAGGATTCATCTAGTGTAAGTGTGCTCCTATAACCAAACTCAATGTGTGGTCAGCATACACGTCTGTATTTCTGACAGCAAGTTTATTAGCGCTGAATTAGCTGCATATGGTTTGTAAGGATAGCAATGTGGTCTTCACTTGTGCATTAGTCCATGGGAATAGAATAATTTCCAAGGGTGAACAGACATATAAAGCTGATGCTCAGAGTAGTATAGACTAAGATGCGGGATATATGGTAATATGGATCCAAGCTAAACCATATTTCCATGACTTGGTCAAATGCTAAACAAACACCCCCGTGCCTTCGAAGGCACCTATCTCTATTGCTCAGGCTGCTCAACTGAATAAATGTAGATAGAACACTGAAAAAGCGTGATCACTTTTAGTGAAATAAGTGCAAATTGTTAAACTGTGAACATTTTCTGGATGTTTACATTATAAAAATAAGTTGGTAGTAGCCTAGCAATTTTCCTATCAGGGGTGCAGAGAGGGGAGTTTATCCAGGCTAGAACCCCACATGGCCAAGAAATCGAGCATTTGTGACCTTAGTATGTCTTTTTTTACCAACAGTTTTTGTTTAAAGTTGTAAACATTGACAAAGTGTCGCTGCTTGCAGCTATAACACAGAGCCTTATGTCTGCCATTTCCTCAGCATCGTGCATAATTAGCACGTATGCTAGGGAAATAGATGCACTGACTGCGCTCAGTTATGCTTGGAAGTCAGTCTACAATGCGCGATAGTTAATTGTCTTCTAAATGTAAAAGATTTTAGGACAGCTCTTTATGCCACTTAGCAAATTACATGTATGTGCGATGTGAAACTCTTTAATATGCGAAAAATACAGCATTCTTTCATTAGCCTACCTTTGGGTATATTGGAAGAAGATGGGTTGGTAGAGGGTGAAATGAATGAGAATGATTCAGACCACTCCTCATGTTCTGATGTTTTTACTCCATTCTTTATTGATGCATTGTATCGTTTCTGTCCTGGTTCCTTCTTCACCCACGTGGGCCCTCCTTCATTGGTCAAGTGACCTGCATGGATCGCAGCTCGACAAATGGAGGAATCCTGATGACAGAAAAGTGAATTATTTAATGACTCAGAGTTCTAGCTGTTCATGGTATACTAACACACAGCTCCAACACAAACAGATATTGGCACAATGTTTTTAATAAATTAAAAAAACAAATCTTACAGCAGTAAATATGTCAGTTCCCCACACCTGTCCTTTCATGGTAGCACATCCTGGTGGGCAGTTGACTCTGAAAGTATAAAGAAAAATGTTACACTCTTTTTACTTTTCACAATTTACGTTTACCAAAAAGGCTAGCATATTTAATTCAGTAAAAATTTAGATTTTTATTGATAATGGCTTTCTGAAAACAAACTGGAAACAGCAAAGACCTTAATTTAATAAGCTTTCCAAATGAGTCAATACAATTACAAAAATCTTAAAATGATTTATCTACACAAATTCCCATAGACTTTAATGGCGAATTCTGTAGATAAATCACAGAGTCATTGAATCATTTGGAAGTTATTAAGGACTATGTCAGATTTTTCTTTGAAACAGAACAGAAGTATCAGTTGTTACTTATCTGCAAGGACATTCATCTATAACGACATAAACGTTGGGGTGAATTTAGACAAATATACTAATTCAGACTTTTAGTCCCTAATAAATATTGTAGGCAAGTGTACAAATACTAAACAAAAACTGCATTTCCTAATCAGAGCATGAAAAATTGGTACGTCCTTCCAACTAGAACAGAACTCTGAAAATTTGTATAAATTAGTATTAACACCTCCCGAAAGGTGTGAAGATAAATGATTTAATCAATGAGAGATCTCCACAAAATCTACCCAAACAATGGGGTCCACTTCAGTGTCTATAGGTATTCAATCAGGGAAGACATAATGAATAGCCCATATTATACAGCAATGGGGAGAAAAGATGATCAAGATAACCAGGCATGTAAACATAACAAGCAAAACTTCTTAAACCATTAAATCCTTTTATATTTACAATAATCAAAATATTTCACAATAAGAGGACATGCGTATATCAAGGAAAATAAGGTCTAATATTTAAATTCCTTACAAAAAAAAGGTTTAATAGAACATCCTAATCTGTAGATTGTGGGGCTAATGATTATACTAGGTTTCCAATAACCTAGAAGAGCAGAAACACTGAGCAAATAAACTGGATGATAAGATGACTATTAATACAGGAGAAGCAGCTGATTTCCCACATTGTGTGGCTGCATGATGTACACCGGAGAAGGCGAAGGTCCACAAAAAACTTCTGCTATAACCACAACAGGAAGTACTTGGACATTCAGAGCCCTGAGTCAGTGGCCATGAGATGCAGGCCTTCATACAGACCTGGGGTTGGATGGATGCCTCTCCACGCTTCCCACATGGCGCCACCTTCTGAGACCTTCATACATTGCCACAACGTTTCCCTACATTGGGCATTGGTGGACTGAGCTACTCTTCATCTGGGCAGCCCTGTTACTTTTATTCAGGCACAGTTAAAGGGACACTATAGTCACCAGAACAACTACAGCTTAATGTAGTTGTTCTGGTAAGTATATTCATTGTATGCAGGCATTTTCATGCAAACACTGCCTTTTCAGGTTCGCCTGCAAGTGCCTAGCCAATCCACCCAGTGTGTTTTACTTGTGTATTTTTATACAGTTCTACCCTGCAACTTTCTATATTATCTCATGGTTGACAATAATAGAGCTGTAGTTTAGCTGATATATGTGTTGACAGCTCATATCTTGTGTGCTCAGCAGTCTTAGCTCAACAATCATAATGTATTATTTTATTATACAAAAAACGGACCTGCTTTATTGAGTGTCATGGCAATGTTTATTCTGTTGTTGTGGCACTAGAAGCATGTGTGTAACTCTAAACTCTGAAAAAATCAATATTGACAAAAATAAAAAAAACAGGACTATGAATAGAGAAACCTACAAAAATCTAAAAATGTTTTATGGTTGACAAAGAGTATCACAAACCTATTAGCTACATCTATTATCATGTGAAAAACACCTCGTTGTTGAACACATCAAACAGGGCAACTAGTGGCTTCTTTATGCACCCTAGATACCAGTGTTATCTCAATTAATATGTCTAGGTCAGACCACACATGGAGTGCATTTGCATATGTGCTATTTACTGGATCTTCAGGGAAAAGAGGCTTAAGCCCTAGGTGGGCCTTCTAAGACTGCATGTTGAGCCCACCCGAAAAAGACAAAACTCTTAAATAAAGAATTTAAAAAAAAATCATGGCCCACTAAATTGTTGTGGAAAGCTGGCAAAAAAAGGCTGACTGTTAGGATCGTGTTACTGTCCTCTCTGCTGTGAATGAGCTGGCTATTGGTTAAGGCAACTATGGTTGGCTGCTAGGGAAAACATTTTGATTCATTATTTGTGCTTTTGCATGTAGTATTTATTTTGGAAAACAGGCTAATTGTCTGTTTCTTTTTATTCACTTCCAAGTGTAATGTCTTTGCACAGATTCCAAAAATGTGTAGATGAATAAGAAATAATTGGCAATTCTAGTCTATAAATCATAAAGACTTAGACTTATAATCACTTATGTTCTTCAGGATAGTGTTCAATATCAAAATCATTTTGTGGATTAGTTATCTAGGGTGGTCTTTATCTCAACTGGAAGGACATTTTAGATGTCCACTACTCATTCTGCACAGTAATACTTACATTGTAAGTGGTGCGTTTAAGCTGGTTGCATCTGAGGAACACGCAGCATTAGCTGAAAGTGAAAGGGAAAAAAATTATTTAGCAAAGAGAATTGAATGTGGAATACTCATATAAGGCTAAAGAATCAATGCTAATTTTTAACAGTGTTAGAAAAATGAATCGTGCTTTAGAAACAAAAGTCTCAGAAAGAGAGTTTAATCACTAGACAGTGGATTACAGTAAATTGAAAATTAACCTTTAGAAATAAGGTCACAAAAGGCAAGTTATGGTATACTCTGGATCTGGATCAGTTTTGTATGTTTTGGTCTAAATTTTTAATTTGATATTCCGTTCACCAACATTTGCTGGCTACAATGCTGGCAATGTTTATTATTGTACTCATAATTCAAAGAATGTATAATATGTATTTGAGCTGTGAACAAATAAAAACCTCTATTATATACAATGGACAGTGTGATTAAATGCTACCTGTTGGTAGATCCGATTTCTCTGATTCACTTGTTGCGTGAGTTGGTAGGTTTGTTGGTGTAGGTGCGGCAGCATCAAGCGGGGTGATGGAGAATGATCCAGAAGACTCCCCATGTTCCAATGACTCAATTCCATTCCTTGCAAATGGTTCATAGCGTTTTTGCCCTGGGCCTCTTGCTACCAACATGGATCCTCCATCGTTGTTAATTGCTCCTGCATGGATTGCAGCTCCACAAATGGATGAACCCTAATGAAAACATTTATATATATGTGCCCATGCAGTGTGTTTTTGAGTGTTTATATAATCAAATTAAAGGACCACTATAGGCACCCAGACCACTTCAGCTCAATGGTCTTTAAAAAGGCGCTGGAGAAAGGTGAGTGTTAAACACCTTTCCTCCCCCTTCAGCCCGGCGGGAGTGGGGGCACCCTCAGGGCACTATAGTGCCAGGAAAACGAGTTTGTTTTCCTGGCACTATAGTGGTCCTTTAAGGAACAGGGTAAGAGATTTAAAAATTATTTTAAAAGAGAGAAAAGTTAAAAAGGTTTTGGATCTTACGATTGCGTAGTTGTCGGTTCCATATACTTTCCCTGCAATTTTCATACATCCTGATGGACATGTAACCCTAGAGGAAAAAAAGATGGTGACTATTTGAACAACGTGCTAATGTATGAAATCCAATCTATTCTGGGGTGTAGGAAGGCCCAGTGTTTTAGAGACAGTTCACAGATAGGGTCACAAGGTTTACAAGGGAAGCTGCCACCACTTGTCTATCTTTTAAAGTAACATTCCACACATCTAAAGCAGTTTAGCTTACTGGAATGTTTTATGTGTGAAGAAGTGCAGATCTTAATTTACACTTTTATGAATTAACCTCCAACTCTCTTCTTGACCCGCTTCAGTTTGGCTTCCACCCCTTCGCTCTTCTGAGACTGCCCTTATCAAAGTCACTAACGACATTATCACAGCTAAATCCAAAGGTCACTACTCCATACTAATTCTTCTTGACCTCTCTATGGGACTTTCAATAGGATCATAGCGAGGACTGAAACGTTAGTCTTGTTTTTTTAATTATTCTTCAAGAAAGATTTTGGGATTTTAAAAGTCTGTGAGTGCCAACCTCAACTTGAATACATATATATATATATATATATATATATATATATACATATATATATATATATATATATATATATATATATATATTCCCTAATTTTTGGATACATATCCAAATTTAGCCAACTGAGTAATAGAAAGCATGACTAGGATTTATTTGTTTTAAAAAAAACACACCATTGTCTTCCTGATAATATATACCACATATAATCATACTTACTGTGTCAATTGTGCACTCAAATGGATTGCAGGTGAAGAACACAAAGCTGTAACTGAGATTACACAAAGGCATTAATATAAAAACATTTATTTTACAAATTATGGACTTACATACTATGATATTGTGTATAACACTACTTCATAAAACTATGGCATGTGATGGGGCGGAAAATGTTCGTCAAAATAGGCAAATAGGGAATGTATTCCTATGTATTCTGAATAATTTTTATATTGCTTTTTTAATAATTACAGGACATAAATGAATACTATAAAATGTGCCTAGATGTAGAAAAAATAATAATAAAATTGAGTGTGTTTTTAAATGAGTGTAACAACTAATAATTCTTCTCTTCGGTATTGTAAATACCTATGTAATATCAGACAATTTCAGATGTGTTGACAGTGTGGTTCAAAATAAATAACATTTAGCATATCTAAAGTTAGAACAGTGAACTTTAGTTACCGGAAGGTAAACTTGGAGCTGCAGGTGCAGATGGTGTAGCTGAGGGTTCACTTGTTTTGGATGGTGCTTCTGGGCCAGAAGTAGATGGTTGTGTTGGTTTTTGGGAAGCTGATTCTAGGCTAGATGATTGTCCCGGAGGAGTTGAAGATGATTGTGTTGGTATATTGGATGGGGATTCTGGGATAGATGTTTGTCCGGAAAGATTTGAATATGGCTGTGTTGATTCTAAAAAGATAAGACATGGGAAATTATTACATCTCAAAAGAAATATAAATTATTTTCATGTCTTAGTATGTTGATCTTTTTCAGTGGTTCAAACCCGATCCAGCTCTTTATGTAAAGGCAAACCCCTTAGATGTTTGCTATGTTAACAATTCACTCATTTCTAATGAGAGAGAAGCGAGTATTCTTATGGAGCAAAGCTGAATAATATAGAAAAAAAATAATAATACAGAATTTAGCCATGTGCACAAACTTTCACTACTCTTGGGTGTCAACAATGGTTATAGTATCCAGCCCCAATGCGCAAATAGATCAAACCAAAAAAAGATACCCGAATAACAAGATGGGTTACTGGAAGCCAAGGTATTTGGTGACAAAGATTACCATCACAATGCTCTGGCTATTAAAAGCAGCATAGTGGGACAATATCGAAGAAGTTGCTGACCCAGAAAGTATACAGTCAACAAACAGGCATTTTGTTAGATGGCTTAAAGTTATATTTTAACAGATTTATGTGATTGATGCAATAACATTGCAGAAAAAAAGAAATAAAAAATGGTACTAACATTGAAAAAAGTTTTATGTTAGGTATGTTATTTTATTGTTTAATACATTGTTGCAGAGAGGCACTGGTGGAAGTAAATGCACAGGAGACTCTACCTTCAACTTCAATTCACAGAGTATCAATTTGATAAGTATTCAATGAATTTGAAAAAGTCTTCACAGTGACCATTAGTGACCTATCAATGGTTCAACCCTTTTGGATGTCTATGGACGATTTGTTTTGTCTGAAGAAATGGAAAATCTTCAATGAAAACATTGACAAGTAATTAGTGCATTATTTATTTTTATTGGGTTAGTTATATTTATGCCATACCAGCCCCCTTCTCACCACATCTCAGGGTTGTTGATTAAATGATGTTGGTGGTTTAGGGATTGTTAGCTACCATGATGGGTATTCACTGTGACTAAATTGTATATGGGTGTGTGTGAAAAAAAATAGAGTTAGGTATTTTCTTCTGTGTTTGTGCTTTTCTGCAACATTTCGTTCATAATGGATTTATTGGTTCGGCAGTTTAAAACTACCGAACACCAACCACCCTCCTGGCTCATTAACTTCAAAAGAACCGTCTATTAAGTGCTCTCCTTGGGGCGGCCGCTGTTCGTATAGCCGAATGCCACATGGAACAGAAAACAGTGGCCATCTTGTTTGCACGAAAGGAGGCAGCGGGACTTGTTCGTCGAGTGTCTGGAACTAAAATTGGATACTCGACCACCCGAACCACCACTGAAACTACTGAACGCCTGCTTCCTTTAGTTGCCGAACAGCCAGGAGAGCGCCATCTGGTAGTTTGGTTCATATGAACAAGGGGAGCAATCGCTTCTAAGAGCCAGGAGGATCCATGCGGGACTTTATTCGTTTTTAGGCCATTTACTGAATTGACCGACTGCACACGCTGAATTCGTGGAACTGTTTTGGGCAGGAGCCCAAAGTATGACTTCCATACTTTTTGAGAACCCCATAAACGATCTGGGTGAAATTTTGATATGTTGGTCCCCCAGATCGGGGCTATCAGGGGATATATAATTTGTGGGGATACCTTGTGGGGAAAGGGGTGTTCTAAATTTTGGGAAAATTGTGTGCCTGGAGATAATTGAGTTATTCCTTAACTTATCTCAATATCTCCCAGGCAGAGAGAGGGCGAGTGTTACTGTAAATCTGTATGTTGATTGGTTATTGTCTTTGTTTACTGTGGGAGGTCCTCTTGCAGGAGGATTCTCATAAAAGCCAGTGTGGCCTCAATAAAAATCATTCCTGTTACACCCTTCATGAAGTCTAGGCTCATGCTTGGGGAATATTCTACTTGCTGGGGAGAATCGTCTTGGAAGCTGCATCTACACTATTCCTCTATCTCCTGCAGTTATAATCACTTATCCTCCACTATTGGGAAAGGAATAGAAGACCGGAGTACCATAACCACTGCAGGTCTTATCAGTGTGTTTATAGGGTCAAATTTAAAGTAATTCATACATCTGAGGGACTGCCCCCAGACACAAAAGGCAACACACCTGAGCTGGTTTGTTGCTTAGAGTATCCCTTCGGTATCTAAAACTATCTAAATCTGAAACTACACAAAATTAGCAAGACGTGTATGTAGATACATGCTGATATTTCTGCCTCTTATAGCTTGTACCTGCATAGATAAATGGAATGTTACCTGCTGGTTTGATAGGTGTTGTAGGTTGAGGAGATACTGCAGCTGAGGGTTCAGGTGTTTTGGGTGTTTCTGAGTCTTTAGTAGGTAGCAGTGAGGATGGAATTTTGTGGAATATAACTGACCCAGACCATGTTCCATACTTCTTTGATTTAACATCATTCTTATCGGAACCCGTGTAGCTTTCCAGACCAGGTTTCTTTTCGACTATCATCATTCCTCCAGCATTAGTTAGTTTTCCAGCATGAATAGCTGACAGGCATAATGAAGAATCCTAATAATATAAAGATTATTTTTTACCTTTATTTTAATGTTTTTTATTGTTTTGTTTTTTTCGTTTACAAACCTTATTTTGAATCTTATATCTTTATAATATATGTTGAACACCATCTCTTTTTGAACAAGTTTTCTTTTACTCAAAAGTGTTTTTCACTGTCTCTGTTATAGATATGGTTCACAGCAATAGTTCTTAACAGCTGCAGTTGACCTTTAATTGGGTCCATATACTACGCCTTTTAAAAAGTATAAATACTAAAATATAGATATTAAAGGGACACTATAGTCACCAGAACAACTACAGCTTATTGTATTTGTTCTAGTATGTAGAATCATTCCCTTCAGGCTTTTTGTTGAAAACACTGTCTTTTTGGAGGAACTCCACTGGTCACTCCCTAGATGGCTGCTAGAGCTGCTTCCTATCTCAGTCTTGCCTAGTGTGCATCAAAACATTCAGAATCTCCACCCTCTGCCTGCAGACACTGAACTTCCCTCACAGAGATTCATTGATTCAATGCATCTCTATGAGAAGATGCTGATTGGCCAGTGCTGTGTTTGACTTGTACTGGCTCTGACCCTGATCTGCTCCTTGACAGTCTCAGGCAATCTTATGGGGAAGCACTGTGATTGGCTCAGAACAACACTTCTGATGATGTCATCAGACAGCTTGCAGGTCTGAGGCAGACAGGGGCAGAGCCAGCAGCTTCAGGCTTACAAGTAACATTTTACCATATTTAGGGAGGCAAGAGAGGGCCAGGAGGGCTAGATGGTGGCTGAGCTATCAGACTGAAATGTACTTGTTCTATGTACCTTCATTACATTTTGGGTAGCACTAGTGCACCGAGAAATGCATTTGTATTTGTAGTGCCTACTCTCTTTCACCTATTTCACAGTATTTTTGTCAACATTGGTTAAACAATATTTTATTTTTTAAAACTGCAAAATCCTTCTTTTTGCTCATGTACACATAGACCATGCTACTTTAGGCTGTTGTTTGGAAGACACTCAAGAGGCTCAAAAGGTTTACAATGAAGTACAATGAAGACACGCCTGACAATGAGTTAAGTCTAGAGTAGAAGCTTTGCAAAACTAATGTTGATATATATCACACTTGAAAATGGAACACTGATCTCAATGTAAAAGTTGAAGAATGGATCACCAGGCTACTGTCATGTACTTGATTTGAGCCCCTGACAAAAAGGTTAAACTACTGGTTTATTCTGGTGCTTTGTGGGTTTTGGGTTGCTAGACTTTGCTGGATTTATAGACATATTTATGACATGATTTTGTTATTAGTGCTTAACACTTTTTTTTGGCAAATATATCTATATCTACTTTGAAGGATTTCTTTTTCAATGAAAAGACCGGAAAACCTTTCAGTTGAAATGTTTGGCAGCAAACTTTGTTAAGAATTGCATATCAGCATATGATACACATAAGTTCAAATAAAAGAACAAATTTGTTTTATTTTAAGTACACTGATATATAGTAGATTAGACAAACTGGTAGCTCATTAGGCTATGTTGTTATGTTTTAGGCAACATTTACGAAAATGCTAATTCTGTAAACTTTAGAAAAAAAAATCAGAAAGTTTATGACTAAATAGCAAAACTGGACAGTCTTCTAGTTCAGAGATGGAGAATTTTGCAGTTATGAGTCTACATTTTACAAGCTTGGTATTCAGTCACATTAAAGGAACACTATAGGTCAGGAGCACATTCCGACCCAAGAGTGTTAAAACCACCATCTAGCTCCCTTTCAGTTTAGTAATTAGACTCCTATGTTTTCTTTTAGCATAGAAGATGTGATTTTAAATATGTCTTAATATAATATAATGGCTAGGCACACAGATTTATAAATGATAATTTTTAGCAATTAAAATAACCATTAAAACAAAATTTACATATGTGTGAATATATCTTACATCAGTGTAGATATCACTTCCCCATACATTCCCTTTCTGATCCAGGCATCCTGGTTCACAATTGACTCTGGAAATTTGATAAAATATACATTTAAAAAACACAACAAAACATGCTTTTTTATTTAATATTTTTTTAAAAATAAATACATAATGAATAATTATGTAACATCATGGTGAGCCACCTACAAGAAAATAGAAGTGGAATATATTGTTACATAATGTTCCATAAATTTTAGGTAAGACTAACAGTTCCTGGTTTATCATTTCACTAAACAGGTGTGTGCATAATTGTGCCCCTTATATCCTTTTGGTTGCATTAGGGACATATGATTTATGGGCTTAATAAACATGTTTATTCATGTGTTTCTTTTGAAGGATGGTAAACAGAAAAATCACATCAAACTGCACAGCTGTAGATGACAATATTAATTTATTGTTTTAAAATGTAAAATTCTGGTGTTTGTTTACAAATAACTGCACAACTTCTCTCTACAGCTGCACTGTCCCTGTGGAACTTCCTTCCCTTCTCCATTCTTCAAAAGATCATTAAGCTCACTTCTTTAGAAACGCATATCAATTAAACCAGGGCTGTTCAACCTGCGGCCCCCCAGATGTTGCTGAACTACAACTCCTTAATTCCATGGGTATCTGTGTCATTAAAAGAATCATGGGAGTTGTAGTTCAGCAACATATGGGGGGCCGCAGGTTGAACAGGCCTGAATTAAACTGTTAATAGCTTTCCCTCCATGTACCTTTGTAACCCACCCTGCTTCCTTTCCTGCAACTATGTCCTCCAATAAACTAGCCCACCATTGTAAACTATTCTAGTAACCTACTTTTTCCCATACATGAAATACATCCTACCCTTACCTCTTGTGCCACTTAACCCCACTCCCTCTAGAATGTAAGTTTGTTTGAGCAGGACCCTCAACACCGTTTGTTTCTATGCTTCCAACTTGTCTTGTGTCAGGGTACCTGTTGGTGATGTATCCAGGGAGGACATCCTCTCTGCTTAGGGGCTCCCTTCCCCTAGCATTTCGGCATATTTCGGCCGTTTTCGCGCCGGCCGCGCTAGCTCCTCCCCCTTTTATGACGTGACGGCTAGCGTCGACGTCATGACGTCGGCATTTGCATAAAGTGCCGGGAACCGCTATTCCGGACCTTTTGGGGGCGTGGTCTCTATTTAGGTACAGGGTATTTAAAGGAAACCTTTACTACTGCTCATTGCCCTGTCGTGGTTCTAGCTTGCTAGTCACTCAGCGCGTTCTTTATCTTGTGTTTCTGGTTTTGACCCTTGCTTGTCTTTTGTCCTGTTGTCCTCTCCTCTCCTTTGACTCGGCTTGTATCTCGCTTACCTGTCCTCCGGCTCCCTTGACCTCGGCTTACCTTTTGACTATTCTTGCTTTGTCCTTACGTTAGTCCGGCCATTCTAAGGTCCGGTATACGTACCTCCTTCTGTGCGCACTCTGCGTATTGGATCCCTGTCAGTTTCCTGACATTACGACAGGGCCATGATGGATCCTGCAGGTGCTAGTCCTCCTGACCCCAGATTTGAGGCCATGGACCATAGAATGGACCAAATGGCTTTAGCGTTACAAACTTTGTTGACACGCTCCAGTACCCAGTCTGAAGAAATACGTTCCACTGCTAGCCACTCGCTAAGTACTGGTTTGGAAGTAGCCACTGTAGGCGCATCTTCCCATGTCACGTCACCATTACGATATGGGGGTTCGCCTGATGCTTGTCGTGGTTTTTTAAACCAGATAAGTATACATTTCGAACTACAACCCCGGGCTTACCCCACTGACAGGGCTAAGGTAGGCTTTATTATAACCCTGCTAATAGATAAAGCACTTAGATGGGCCAATCCCCTTTGGGAGAATGACAATCCTTTAGTCTACAACTACACTGCGTTTGTCACGGCTTTTAGAAGAACCTTTGACCCCCCAGGGAGGAAGATTAATGCGGCCAGATCCCTGTTACGCCTTAAACAACAAGATAGGACCCTTGTAGAATATGCTCTAGAATTTAGATCATTGGCAGCAGAAGTGAAATGGAACGAACAAGCTTTTATGGATGTTTTCTTGAATGGGTTGTCTGATGAAATTCTAGATGAAATTGCCACTAGAGAACTTCCGGAAAATTTAGAGGATTTAGTATCCTTCATTTCCAGAATAGATGAACGCATGAGACAGAGGCAGAACACTCGGGAAAGAGTTACTAGACTTCCTGTAAGACTCGCTCCCTCATTTCAGAACCCTGACTCCTATAATCCTACTCCACCAGAACCTATGCAAATAGGTAATACTCGCTTATCTGAGGCTGAGAGACAATACAGAAGAAGGGAGGGTCTCTGTTTATACTGCGGGCTGAGAGGTCACCTACGTCTCAGTTGCCCTAATCGTCCGGGAAACGCTCGCACCTAAGTTCCCTTAGAGGACGGGCCTTGGGTGTTTCATTACTGTCCTCTATGCATAATAAAAAAGACCATAGGCTTCTGATTCCTGTCTCTCTAGCTTGGGAAAAGGGGTTTATTGCTACGATGGCATTATTAGATTCTGGAGCAGCAGAAAGCTTTATAGACCAAACTTTCGCTAATAAGCATTGTATCCCATTCCAATTGAGAGATACACCCTTGGCCGTTGAGGCCATAGATGGTAGACCTTTATCTGAACCAGTAATATTCCATGAGACCGAACCCGTTAAGCTTACTGTTGGTATTTTCCACGAAGAGTTGATTTCCCTTCTGTTAATTTCCTCCCCGGCAGTCCCAGTGGTTCTAGGATATTCTTGGCTCAAGAGACACAACCCTCAGATTGACTGGGAGGGTGGAGAAATCGTTTCTTGGGGTATGGGTTGTAGGAAAGAATGTCTGCAGAGAGTTACTTCTGTTTGCCCCGTGAACTCTTATGCTAACACTTCTCAATCCACAGACGTTCAGATACCATTTCAATATCTAGACCTCAAATCTGTATTTGACAAGGGTAAGGCGGATACTTTACCTCCCCACCGGTCTT